TTCTGTACATTCTAGAGAAATTTCAAAATAAAAATGTCAAGAAAGAAAGGATAAAGGAATGTAGAGATTTTGGTTGTAATAGTGTTTATTCAAGTGGTAATATAGTAAAAGATAGTATTTAATTATTGTTATTTTAACCTATATATTATAAATACTTTGTTTACATACTTATATACCAGTAACTTTCTATTTTCATATACAATACTAATAATATTATCTACCTATATAATACCCTGGTGAAAATTCACAACCTGTTCATTACATGTCTTATAGCCATATTGTCCCAAAAGTTACAAGGGGATCTGGGGTGGCTCAGTGAGTTAGACGCTTGCTTGCTTACCTGAAGGTCCAGGCTTTCATCCTGGCATAGATTGAGATAAAACTTTGGATTTTTCAACCTGTTTTCCATTGTTTGATAACTTTTGAATTTAGGGATCGAACCTGGCATAGGTTGAGATGACACCATTCAATTTGGTTTTTATTGATACAGGTCAGAAGAAAAAAATGGAAAAAGCATCTAGATGGAACAATAAACCAAGAACCTGTGTGCTAAAAAAAAATTTGGTTTTGGACTTTTAAATTCGTTCCATCTAGAGACAATTTTTTTGTTGTTCCATTTCTTTAAGAGACTTCAAGAAACTAAAAAAAAATTTCCCATGATGAAAAATTTCTTGAAACTTTAGTACAAAGTATAAAATTTATGTATCACACAAATCCATCAAATGAATCTCTGATACAGGAATCTGACAAGCTATCTTTTTTAACTGAAACCTGATTCTAGAAACTTGTCTAAAAACCTATTAAACCTGTATAAATAAAAACATGTGTTGTATGATCAAAATGTGGAACACCAACAAATAACATCATACTTGACACTTTCTACTAATGTCTTATATTAGCCAGGCGTGTATCTAAAAAACCTGGTTTTATATCAGAACAGCATGCCAAAAACATTTCAGAGACTTTTTTACAGATAATTTTTGTCAAGGTTTTATTGCCTTAGCAAAGTAAAAAGTTTTTTGAATTTTTTCAATTATTTTCATGTAAATTAGAATAATAGTCTCAAAATAGTACTGTTACTGATAAAAATATAAGCATAAGCACACATTATGTCTTCAAAATTTGTTTTTACAGAGGACAATTTCAGCCAAAATTTGTGACATTTTTTCGTTGAAATTTCTAGGAGGGAAATGTGTTTCTATTCAATGTCAACTTACAAAAAATAAATTTTTTATCAACGCATCTCATACATGTATTGTAGGTCATTCATTCATTCAATTGACCTAAATCACTTGTCTTTTTTAGGAATTGATTGATTGATTGATTCATTCAGCTTCTCTTATATATATTGTAGGTTATTCATTCTTTCATTCATTCATTTAAACAGCTTCTCTCATACATGTATTGTAGGTCATTCATACATTCAGCTTCTCTCATACATGTATTGTAGGTCATTCATACATTCAGCTTCTCTCATGTATATTGTAGGTCATTCCTTCATTCATTTAAACAGCTTCTCTCATACATGTATTGTAGGTCATTCATACATTCAGCTTCTCTCATACATGTATTGTAGGTCATTCATACATTCAGCTTCTCTCATGTATATTGTAGGTCATTCCTTCATTCATTTAAACAGCTTCTCTCATACATGTATTGTAGGTCATTCATACATTCAGCATCTCTCATGTATATTGTAGGTCATTCCTTCATTCATTCTTTCATTCATTCACTTAAACAGCTTCTCTCATACAAGTATTGTAGGTCATTCCTTCATTCATTCTTTCATTTAAACAGCTTCTCTTATACACGTATTGTAGGTCATTCATTCATTCATTCTTTTATTCATCTCCACCATTTAATTCACCCATCATGTATATATGTAAAGAGAGTATTTGAGAATGTGATGTGTTAATATTATGATTGATGATAGTAGAGGTAAATTACTAAGCCAATAATACCACTGTTAAAACCTTCAATTAGTCTATTTGATCAAGTTGTAGAGAGTTCACCATGTTGGATTGTTGATAATGTGACTAATAGCTCATTTGATTATTTTTGCTAATAGCCTCAAACTAAATGGTTCCATTCAACTAGTTATTTTATTGATTTTTATTAAAGTGCTTTAAGGAACTGTGGCTTTATACCTTGAAATTTATGGCTACATATTACAGCATTAGCTTTTAGCAAGTCTGCCATTTCCTTTTTTCTCAAGATTTAAGAAATAAAAATGTTCCACAGGAATCACGGAATTCTTTCTTGATAAAGTAAAACTTTTGACCTCTCTATAAACCATGAGCTAAGTTATTGAGCCATTGAAGGTAGTTTGATGTCACTGTTTTGTCACCTGCTGAGTTACTGTTTGTCCCCTATGGAAGTGATTGGTTCTGTTATGCCCCTCTGACACCAGAACCTTTTTTTCCCTGCAATAAAAGGCAATTAGACATTTTGAATCCTGGCATTTTGGTGTCAATGCTAATCTGTTTCAGCACTGTGCATGCACCCAAAAGTATGCTGCATTCATAGCAATATTAAAAACACATGTATAAAGTATAATTGTTGGCCCACTGTTCACTTCGGGTGGACCACTAGTAATTCCTTTGCTGCTCATTGATTCACAGAGTGTTCACACCAATGTTCCTGCAATGTTCATGTAAAGTCTTGGAGGTGCATGCCATTGTCAAATTTAAATAAAGGCACTTATAACATTTAATGACAAGTAATAATTATTTTTATATGTATAACAAAAGCTTAGACCAAACTTTCCTCAAATTAACCTTTTGACCTAACCTGATAAACACTGCATCACAAAATGCTAATGATGGAGAGGGTAGAAATTTGATTGGTTAAAGCAGACTTCATCAAGTTGGGTGAAAAGGTTAAACAAAGGCTGTAGTTAGACCCTAACTGAAGTGGTTATATTAAAAATAAAAGATAATAAAAACAACAAAAGGAAAGTTTGGTCTAACTTTGATTAAACTCGGTATGTATTCATTAAATTTCTTATTTATCTATAATAATAAAAACTTTTTGTTATTACAGTTGTGGTATGTGAAGACCAATGTAAATGTCCACCACATTTATTTGCCTGTACTAATTGTGTATGTATACCACAAGTTTGGTCCTGTGATGGTGATCAAGATTGTAAAGATGGTAGTGATGAAGCTAGATGTGGTAAGCTCAACCTTTGTTTTTTTCTGTTGATACCATCTGCCAAAGCATTGTTTGTCAAAACATTACACATTCAGGCTGAATGGGGCTACAACGATTCTTGAAGAGAAAAACTAGCAGAAATTTGTAAAATGACTAACAATTTTATCACTATTAAGCACATGAGAACATTTAGAAGTAAGGAATTGTGAAAAAAATCTCAAGTTTTAAAGTCACAAATAAATATTTGATATTTTGATGTGAAAATCATAGTTGGAAAATGAAAACATGACACAATTTCTTATACACAAAAGGATTATGTGTCATTTGTTATTAAAAGGGGCTACAAATTATTCGTGCCAATACATCATGATTATTTTTATCCAATGCAATACATCAATAAGAAGGAAAGAATCGCGATTTATTGAATCATCGGTTGAAGTAGGTAGGGGGGGGACTTTTAAAGATATAAGGCCAAATATTTGTATTTTCAATTTTCAGGTGGTTTTAGTAGGGAAGCAAAATTGTCTCTATTCATCTGTCTGTCCGTCCGTCCGTTCACTTTTCTTTGTAAACCAATTTTGTTAAAACTGGTTTTGTATACATACATCAAGATCAAGTTCTGATTAGAGCGCTTCTGAATACTGTGGGCCAAATTAATCATTTTTAGATAAGATTCACAGAGCTTCATTCATAACTTTTATCCCAGATAATAATATAATAATTTTATAAATTTGTCAATAATAGTCCTTTTGTTTAAAAACAATTTCAGAAAGTAAAATCAAATTTATAAGTCTAATATAATGTAGATAATGATAAATACAAAAAGTTGAATATCAGAAGCTGGGTCATAATATTTGACCTAAATTTTATTTTTTTAAGGAAATATTTGAACCTGTTGTTTATGATTCTCTGGTTTAGAATTTTTGTGTGTATTTTTTAGGAAAAAATCAGTACCAGTTATATACTCTGAGGATAGGATAGATCTATTTTAGTTTTAAAAATGGTTTGCCATCTGTTTGACCAATCGTACCTTAGTCTCAGAAATTGGATTTTTTAGGTAATAGGGTTTACAGCTCACAATCGAAATTTAGCCTCAAAT